CTAGGTTAGTTATCTGTTCTTCTTATAGCATGAACACTGTTACAGTCCAAATACTGAGTATCTCATGGTTTCTGTGGACCAGGACTTCAGGCACAGCTCCCTTGGGTATCTTGATAACACTCAGGTCTCTCAGGAAGCTGCAGCTATGGTCTCTGGACTATGGGAGGAATTGCTCCTGAGCCCCGTATTCACAGGGGTACTGGCAAGATCCAGCATGGACTGAGAGCCTGAGTTCCTTACTGTCTGTTGGCCTGGGTGCTCCCTGCTGCTCTCTGGATAGTCCTTTACCTAGGGAAGCACAGAGCATGGACCCTTGCTCTCCCCTTAGAGATTATGAATAAGAAGGGGCAAGGAGGGGAGCAAGGGGAGGAAGAGAAGGTAGGAGGAGGAGAGATGAAAAAGGAAAGAAGAAACCCAGGAGAATGCAAAAGGAAATAGACAGAATTTTTGGTAATTAAATCTTGGAAACTGCAATAGACTGAATGTTTGTGTCCTCCGAAAGCTGTATTATGAAATCTCAATTCCTAGTGGTATTAGGAGGTGGGGCCTTTGGGAAGTAATTAAATTATGAGGGTAAAGAATTAGTGCTCTTCGAAATAAATCAAACATACATGTGCAAGCACCGCATTATTTCTCTAGTGTAAAGCCTGAAAGAGTTAATTTAATCTAGGAGATATGATAGACATTGAGAATTGATAGGAAAGCACTCATAGGTAAAGGATAACTGGGATATGGGAAAAGAGAAGGGAAAGAAGGAGAAAGTTTGTATATATGTATATGCAGGATAGTTAACACAGGTGTTCTACTGTCCTGTATTTCCTTGCTGAAAGAAGCTGTCAATGAGGCATTGGTTGATTAGCTTTGTATGTCTATATGTGTTTTCATGAGAAACTACATTGAAGATATCAATATGTAATACAATAAGCATTGTTAATTCCCTACCACTCTGTTTGTAACTCTGTAATGTCTGTACTGATCCTATGCTATTTTGTAAAATGTTGTTGGTCTGTTAGTATTTTCCTCCTTTAATTTCTAAAATAATAAAAAAAAAAATAATTAGTGCTCTTATTTGTTTGTTTGTTTGTTTTCTGTACCAGGAATTGAACTCAGGACCTTGCGCTTGTCAGGCAGACACTTACACCACTGAGCTATATCCCCAGCCCTTAGTGCTCTACTTAAAGGGACACCAGAGAATTCTCTCCTGCTCTTTCAGCCCTGTGAGGATACAATGACAATTGGCAGTTGGCAGCCCAGGAGAGAGACCTCTCCAAACCTGGGCCAGGTTGGCTGATCCTGATCTGAGACTTCCAGCTTGCAAGACTGTGAGGAATGAGCTTCTATTATGTATGGGCCATCCAATCTATGCTGCTTTGAATAGCAGCCCCAGTGAAATGGCATCCTTTCATTTTTGCTGTATTCTGAATCAAGTCATTACTAACCAGTCATTGCAGGCTGTTGTGGATACACCCAATGAGCAGAACAGGATGAGGCTCTTAGGTCTGATTCTAATCACAGTGTTATGATTTATATCTGGATGACCTCCAAAGCCTCATGCACTCAGGCAGGGCTTTTGGGAGGTGATCGGATCATGTGGGCACTATACTCATTGGCCTTAAGTGTTTCTCTCCCTCTCTGGCTCCTCCTTTCCCACTCTTCCTGGCTGCCATGAGATGAGAAGCTATTCTTCTGCCATGCTCCTGTGCCATGCTGTTCTACCTCCGAGCCAGTCAACTATGGACTGAAATGCAAGACTAGGTCTGTCCTTCTTTAAGCTGTTGTGTCAGATATTTTGTCCCAGCAACAAGAAAGTGACAGACACAGTGGGAAGCCACTGGAAGGTTTTATGCTATGGGATGACAATATATACATTTCTTTCCATTTCAACCACCCTGTGGGACAAAATGGAAAGTGGCCCAGAGGGGAAGTAACTTTTCAAATATCACACTGGTAGAATTCAGGAAGGTTTAAAGTTGTATTCTGTGCCCTGCTCATTCTTATTAGTTCTTCCAGCTCTATGTGCGCTTGTTACCTGTGACACCAATTCATGGATTTGTAAGTTGGATCTCATGTATACTTGGTGGCGTCCCCAGGAAACCACTGTCAGTGTGATCCCCACTGTGCAGGTTAGGAGACAGGCCCTAAGGAGGCTAAGCAAAAGGAGGCTGGCTCCAAAACAGCTCTGTGTTCCCAAACCTGGGGCCCTGGATATATTTAAGTCTCTCAGGGATGTTAAATCATGTAGGTAAGAGCTGACACTCAGGGGTGGATAAGCAGTTGCTAGGTCAGAGAGGGTATTATTGAAGGAAGGGACCTAGGTGATGGGACCTTGAAAAAGCCACCTCACTTCGGTGGTGATAGATCCCAAAAGAATTTGGAACTTGTAACCAGGTACCCACATTCCAGAAATGGCTTCCATGCAGCTTACTTGGCCAAAGATCTTCAAGAGAGCAAAATGTTTTCCTGCTGTAGCCTCCGTGTTCTGCGGCTCTGGTCCCAGGAACAAGTGAGAGCTTTTTCATCGCTGCAGACATTGGCTTAGCCCTCTGTTCTGAAGCTTCCAGCTATTTGGCACAAGGTATCTGAAGGCAACACAGGGCAGCCCTGGGCAGGTTCATCCAGGCCAGGCCAGAACTGTGATTCTCCCTGAGCAGCCACTCCTCCCTCTCACCGTGTGTGTGTGTGTGTGTGTGTGTGTGTGTGTGTGTGTGTAGGTGGGAGTGTGGCATGGGATGAGGGCTGAGTCCTTGGGCTGGAGTAGGTTGTGAAGCACTGGGACCCTGGTGCTTGGGAACCTTGTCATGGCTCAGATTATGCCTAGAAGGACAGGAAGGTGAGTGCGGGGTGGAGCACATCCTTCCGGGTTTCCATCCTGTGCCTGCAAGCCTTCATCTCACTTCTTCTCTCCCTGAAAGCCCATGGAGATATCCTCTGTGCCTAATCTGGGGAGCAGAATTCCAAATGGGGTATCCCCTAGCAATGGCCAGGCAGACCCCTCACACCTCATGGCCCAGCTGCAGGAAACTGCCCTTTCATAACTCTACCCAGAAGAAATGAAAAATGAAATTCCAGGCATGCCTTTGGAGAGTTATTTCCTTTGAAGCTCTGGTATCTATTTTAAGTAACCAATTCCTAATACCTGCCTTTTTTGCTGACCATGTGGACATCCCCTTTCATGTCTGTTTTCCTCACTGGAAGTGAATTCCATGTGGACTGGCACTATGCCATGTCCTGTCCCTGATGAAACTACAGTACCTGGCACAAAGCAGAGATGTATAAATGGGCAGACAAATGGATCAAAAGACAGAACTGTTCACAAACATAACTTTACTTGAGGCAGGGTGGGGTCACTGGTACAGGCCCTGGATGGTGTCCAAGGAGCGCTTCCAGCTGTCTTTCCAGCGCTGAGCCTGCTTCATTTGTATAGCATTGTCATTGCGGATCTTCTTCAGCTCCTCTTCAAACAGTGCTAAGTATTTCTAAGGAAGAAAGGCATCAGGAGGGATCAGGTGGACAGACTCCTGCACTCTGCTCCAGGAGCACTATAACTAGCTGGCAAGCAGTCTGAATCCAATGCAGGACCAGCAAGAGTTTCCATGAATTCACCCAACAATCCATTGGGTAGGTGTTTTCTTTCCCTCATTTTATAGATGGGAAGATTGAGACTCCAAGCCTTGGCTGGGGTCACTTGACAAGAAGGGGCTGGACAGGCACTAGGACCATGTCCTGCAGAAGAGCCTCCTGGAGCTCAGGAATCCTGGCAACCTCCTGAGGCTTAGCCCCTGGCCTCCACCCATGGTTGACCTCAGTGAGCAGAGCCACTCTCTCTGCCCAGAAGCTGGGGAAGTGCCAGCATCGATTATGTCTGGCTCTCCCAGTCCCAGAACCAGCAGATCTGCAGGCAGGACAAGACCTTTCTTGGCATGGATCTTTAGAGCTACAAGGTCCCTTGACTGGTGTTATGGTACATGTCTGCATGTCCTCCCAAATCCTCATGCAGTCATGGGGCAGGCTTCCCCAATTTGTGATTGATCCATGGTTCAATGCTGGGATTATAGGTGTGAGTGCTACACCTGCCGTGGGGCAGGTAGTTTGCATACAATGAAAGGGAGGAAAAGAGGCTGCTTGCCGCTGCTCCTCCTTTTGGCTCTTATTGCTTTTGCTGTCTTCTGCAGCCATGAACTGTTGCCCTCTGCCATGTGCCACTCTGCCTTGGAGCCAGCTGAGTATGGACTGAAACCTCCACAAACTGTGAGCTAAACAAACTTTTCCTTCCTTAATTCTAGGTGTTGGGTATTTTGTCCCAGCAACAAGAGAAAAGTAACCAAGACAACTGGGAAGTAACATCTGGGAGTTGCCTCCCTTGTCAGGCAGACTCAGAGGGATTTCACAGGCAGTGGGATCAAATCCTGGCTCTGCCACCCTGTCATGGCATAAAAGGACAAGTGTCTTCAGGCAAAAGTGTCCTTGTCAATTAAATGGAAACCATCATTCTACCTCCTCCTCCGAGGATTCAGGGAGATGCCTCATGTTAACAACGGAAGATACTAGCAGGTGCTTAGGTGCTTAGCCCTCCTGCTATCACGTCCCCACTGCAAAGCCACTGCTGCCATCACCTCCATGCCTGTCTGCCATATTCTTTAGCTCACTCTACTGCCCCTCAGCAAGGATTTTCTTCACGTGGGTAGGTGTCCCTCAGCTGGGCTCCCACAGCGGCAGGCTCAAACTTAGACCCATGCTAGCACTGGCACCAGACACAACCCTGGCTCCCATCTTTGTGTCTGAATATCAATTGAGTGTTGAAACCTGTGGCTTGGGAAGCATTGATGTGTTTGTTGTCTGCTCTATAGGGTGTAGTTAGGATGCTCAGTGGTGAGCAGCTCCCTTCTTGCTGAGGCAGCCACGCTGAGCTGCTCTGCGCTCCCGGGGACACACCCATCCCACCCAGTCTCACCAGGTACACTGCATTTCGGGCTTCCACTGCAGCCAGGTGGCCCAGGGTGGTCTTGGAGGTGGTTATTGAGGGTGTCTTCCGAACAAGAATCTTGTTTTGGATGGTGGCTTCAGTGGGCTTGATGCCTGGCCACTTCCTATAAACACACATTTGGCTTTATTATTCAAAACCCACCTGCTCAACAATTGTCATGGCTTTAAACAGCTTCATAAAAAGAAAAGGCCGGGCTAAGCATTCAATGTTCCACTCTTTAAGTTCTGTTTTGTATTTCTATACTGTTGTAATGGCTCTGTGCATAGTCTTGGGTTCTGTGTGGGGAAGTGAAATGCCATACCTCTTTCTGGGCCTGTTTCCCATCAGTCTACAGTAGTCCTGGCCCATTTTCTCTACTACACTGTAAAGGTCACTGCTGGCAACATATGTGGGCAAGTCATTGCTTTCACATTCTCGGAGCACAGGGGACAGGTAATTTGACAGTTCTCATTACATATGACAGACAGCTGGAGTGGTTCACACTGCCCACAGTGACCAGAGGGTATGCCTCTCTCTGGGACTGGCCTCCCTTTCTTTCTGGATTTATAGGATGAGCCCTTGTCATGTAAACTCATAGTTCCTGAGCTCTTAGTTTGTGCAGGGTGGGGGGACTCTGTGGTCAGCCTCATCTAACTTTCTCTTCATAAAACCATATGAGGTGTACTGTCGTGTCTACTTCACAGATGAGGAAACTGAGGCTCAGAGTAAAATGCCTTTCTGAAGTCAGGTCTGTCTGAGATTAGAGACTGAACCCCTAAGTATCCCCTGCCCAATGCCCAGCAGATACAGTCATTTATTGCTGCTCTGGGCTCTCACCTGCTCCCACGTTCGATCAGAGGCTTCTCACTCTCTTCCTCCAGGGAGAGCTTGGCCAGTCTCTTCCGTATAAGGATTGACATTTTCTGTTTGGAGGGCTCCATCCCTGATAGGGAAGAGGGGTTACTGACTGTGGCCTTACCTACAGCCTGAGATCAAGGGGTATCCGTGTGTGGTAACATTGAGAGTTAGGAGAGCTCACTCCCAGCCTCCTCCCTGGGGGTCTTCAGTGGCAGGCAGAGCCCCCTGACTTCCACTGAGAGGCTGGTGCACCAGACAGGCAGCTGGGGCAGAGATGGTAGTAGGAATCACTGCAGAAGTCTGAGGAGTGCTCTGGGTGGTTCCTAATTCCAAATCCCTGAGCTGTATGTTCTGAAATTCCCACAGCTCATGCGAGCCCCCAAACACACTTTGAAGAAGCTCAGATGCTTTCTGAATAAGAGCATCTCCCAGAATAAACACATTCAGGCTTGTTTGTTGAATGTCTGGCTTGCTGACCCAACCTGGTATATGCTTTTATGACAAGGAGAGGACATGCTTTTGTGGAGTGAGGACCAGCAAGCAGGAGCCTCCCTGACTGCACCTTTGACTGCTGTAGATGGTAGAGCCAAGCAGCTTGGCGCAGAAGCCTGAGATTAGAGCAGGCAGAGACTTCCTAGGGTCTGGTGCTGGGGATCCTCCATGCTTAGCAGTTCCAGGCGAGGCACCACAATGGGCTCTGCTGCTAGCTCAGGTGACTGTTCTCAGGAGCTCTCAACCACCAGTGTCTCTGCTGGTCGTGCATTCCCAAAGAGACCTCTGATACTGGAAAGTAGCCAACACCTCAGAAGTATGTATGCATTTTGACCCAGAAACTGCAAGCTAAGGGCTTGTTGCCCCAAAATGATGATGCATGGTTGCAGAGATTCTCTTTGGTGCAATTACAGGAGTGAAAAGTTGGAAATGGCCCAATGTGCAGCCGTAGAAAATGAGTTGGTCAATGACAATGCTTGTTGAGTCACAGTGCATAGCAACAGAAAATATTCACAGGACAGCCAGCCCAAGGTCCACCCAAGCAGGATCCAGTCACACACATCCACAGGCCCTGCACCCGGGTCTGTGCCTGCACCTATGGGGAGGGGAGGCTCTACAAAGAGGGCGAAGGTCACTGATTTCTGGGTAGAAAGAATGTGTTCTTCACTTGCTTCTTAGTTCATACTAAATTTCTTACTTAACTGTAACAAACATTTATGGTGTTTGTAATAAAAACTTTTAAAATAGAATAGATTTTGATTACTTTTAGATTAGTAATGAATGACATTGAATATATGATTTTAATCGTATGTTTATAAAAGTATTATAAAAATTTAAACATCACTTAATGGTGGTGTGTGGGAGTTAGAAGCTTCCCACCATCCCACCCAGCAGTTATCATCAGCAGTTTGGCACCTATCCTGAGGCTCTGTCTCTCACACAGATTAGTGTAAACATCTGTGAGTATGTATGTTGAAATTCTATATGTTTTTTAAACATGGGATAACAAACATGTCCTCCTTGTCCATTTGTCTTTTTACATACAATCCTTCCTTACATCCTTCTACATCAGCACGTACAGACCTGCCACTCCCATTTTAAGAGCTGCACAGTATTCACTTAAATATCTGCACCATCTCTTATGCTTCCAGTCCCTTATGTATGAATACTGGTGCTGTTTCTAGTTCTTTGCCATTTCAAACAGTGGTGCAACAAATATTCTTAAACATATATCCTGGGAAGAATGTGCAAGCATTTTTGTTGTATACATTCTTAGAATTAGAACTGCTAAGTCAAAGGCATACACATACAAGTTTGTGTGTGTGTGTGTGTGTGTGTGTGTGCGTGTGTGTGTGTATGTGTGTGTGTGTGGTACTGGGACTTCAATCCAGGCCTTCACAGTGAGCTTCACATTGCCACTAAATTGTCTAGGCTTGGCTAGAACTTGTAATCCTCCTATCTCACCCTCCCATACTACTGAGATTCCAAGCATGCTGGCCACATGCAGAATTTTCATGGGACCTGACAAAATATTCTCCAAGAAGGTAGTTAGCAAGATATGGTCCTACAAGATACCTGCTAAAGATCCCTTAGTGGCCTCTATTTCCTACGTTCTCAGCATGGCTGGTTGCCCTCAAAGTTAAACCCTTGGCAGTCTACTGTTGAGAAATGATATCTCACTAACGTTTACATTTACATTTTTCATCATCAGTGAGGGCAGCATCTCTTAATCACTGGCCACACAACTGCTTCTCTTTTAAAGTACATGTCTCCTTTATTTTTTGGTCTCCTTTTTAAAAATGTGACTGGTGAGAGTTCTTTGTACCACAGAGAGAGTAACCTTTTCTCTGGTTCATAAGTTGTGAGGAATACGTTTCCAATTTGTGGTTCATTTCTTCATATTTGACATTTTTCTGTTTTTGTTTTGGCCTCAGAGAAGTGCCAGCTGTTTATTTCATGGTTTTTGGTTCTCATGCCATACTTAGAAAATTTGGCCCTAACCCCCAGCATATGAAAATATTTACTGTTAGGATTTCATTTATTCACATATAATCTCTGATCCATCTAGCATTTGCCTTTTTAAGTAAAAAATTATTCTTAATGAAAACCAAATCAATCTCCTCAATAGAGAAATTGTTTTACCCTGGTGGAGTTGGAGGAAAGTAGACACCTCTTACCTCCGCTAGCTGACCTCTCCTGACCCCCTGGGACCAGAGCACAGGCCTGGGGTGCTTACTTGCAACCTGGATGTCATCCACGGTAACCACTTCATCCAGCTGCAACAGAAGCTTCTCGGTGAAAGTGGCTAAGCTGGTGATGAAAAAGTGGCCGTACTTCCTGGCATATTCCTGGAGGAAAGGGCCAAGCATGGAGTTGCGGAGAGAACTTCCCTCCAAGGCCAGATGAGTGACAGCTGGGTTGGCACTGTAGAGCGGATGTGGACCTGCCTGCTGGTGAGCTGAGCCCAAAGCAATGGTGCCCGTTGTCTCAGAGCTAACCAGCAACTGGTCCTCAGAGTGAGGGGCCTCTCCCAAGCGCTGATTTAGGTTGAGGATAAGAAATAATTCAGATATGGACAACGAACACACAGACATTTCACTGAAGAGGAAATAAAATTAGATGTGGAGTGTGAAAAAATTTCAATTACTAATTTTTTAAACAATTTAGAAATCCAAGAAATGTAAAGTAAAACACTCAATTATGACCATTTTACCTCCAAACCCACCCACTTTCATTTCTGCTTTGAACCAGGTGACAATCAAAGGCCATGCTTTGCCAGTGGCTTTCCATCAGAGCCATCTTTCTACAGGGAAATGTGGCCCTCAGAACCCAGACTGGGAGTGTACAACACCACTGACCTCTAGCCTTTCCCTGGTCATCTTGATTGCATTGTTCAGCTCTTCCTGTCTTTTCTTTTCTGAAGCATGTAGAGACTTCATTTGCTGGAGATTCTGGGGATGTCCAAGATTTGGCTGGAGCTTCTGGGCATTTTGATCCTTCAATTAAATAATCCAGAATTCAGCAGGGATTTTGACCCAGACTTGAGGTCAGCATCAAACTTCCCAGGTCTATGTATTGTGTCAATCAAGGCCATGACCAGACAAATGTATCCTATGACCTGGGTTATGTGAGGGACCATGGGTGGGCAGAAGAACAAGTGGCAGAGAGGACAAGATGGAGGCATAGGTAGAGCTAACTCGGAGGCTTGCAGAGAAGATGATCTGAGCATCTGCCCCAGCACAATTGGGGCTTTGTTCCAATAAAATCAGCATAAATCATGTCCCATGACTCCAAGGACCAGTGTGAACAATCATTACTGATTACAATTACCATGACTCCACCAAACCCGGTAGACCTTCCCACTGAATCCAGCAGAGTTTACTGAATGTCTGCTATGAGAAGTTGTTAGTTCAGTTCTGATTTCATCAATGCCTTCTGTCTCTTAGCCCCCATCTGATAATCCCAAGCCCAGCTCATCTCCTTCTCTTGGACTTGGCTGCCCATGACCTGCCTCTATTCTGAATTCCCAGCATCCCCAAGTCCTGGAGTGGAACTGGCTGGTCCTGGGTCCCTAACCTTCCTTCTCTCCAGCTGCTTTTGCTGCTTTTCAAACTCTCTCCGGATGTCTTTCATGGTGGTGCAAAACTTTTGCCAGTGCTTCTCCTTGACATTCTCAGTCACCAGCCAGCACACCTTGGGCAGCAACTCCTCAAATCTCTTCATCTGGACTCGTAATTCTGCAGGAATTGAGGGTAGAAAAGGAAAGGACAGAGTAAAACCAAGTTGCTGAATTGATCTCTCCAACAAAGACACTTAGTGATAGACACTCAGAATCCCAAAAATGGTGCTGGCTGAGACACACACTTCTTTGCTCTTCGGACCTCGTGATAAACTTCCTACTTCCTTTTGCACATGTGCCAACTAACTCCCAATCCCCTCAAGATACGGCACATTGCCTGCCCATATTAACTCCACCTCTAGTCCAATCTAATAAAATCCCGTTCCCCAGCTCCCTCCTCTGAGGGTCCTTGCAATCTCCTGCAACCCTCCCATGCCGGGAACAAAGGCTTGTTTTATGTATCTCTGTCTCTTGCTCTCTGGTGTCAAACCTAACACTTAGCAGTTTCCCAAAGGGAAAACTTTGGTCTCCCACATCAGGACTCCATCAGAAGAGTCCTATAGTCAAACTAATTAGAAAATATTGATTAGAGATACTCTGCTGCCTTCTCAACACATTTAAAATGCATCATGTTTTCAGTAGTTCTGGCAATTTCTCTATAATCTCTTTTAAATAGGGCCTTGATCTAGTCTCCTCTCTCCTTTTGTATCGCTAATAGCCATATGTTAGACCTATTCTTAAATTCATATCTTTTTACTTCTCTCCCATATTTTCATCTCTTTATCTTTCTGTGCTGCAGTCTGGATATTTTCTTTGGATTTAACCTTCCAATTCACCAATTTCACTGTCAGCTGTGGATAACCTGGTAGTAAAGCCATTTCTAGCTTTAAATTTTCAAGTCTTAATTTTTCCTCTTTTCAAAGTTGTATTTGATTCTGTTTTGTATCTACTTTGTCATTTTAATAATCTCTTGCTCCTTACACTTTCAATTCCCTCTATTATTTAACTATTATAATAAGTACACTCACTATTTTATATTGTGTTTGATAATTTTAACATCTGTGTCTCTTGTTTGAGGTGCTTTATTTCCTTGTGTTTACATGGGTTTTTTGTTATTGTTTGTTCATTATGGTGAACTCTGATTCTGGGAATTTTATTTGTGGGGAATACTCTGAGGTCTAAGTTGAAGGTGGGTTTTCTAGAGAAAATTTTAAGGAATCTGTTGCAGCAAGTTTTGGATGCTATCAACTCAAGATCATTTTAAACTAATGTATCAGTCAAAGATCATTTGGACAATCCACAAACAATTGAATTCATACTTAAGTAAGTGTGAATTCAGGTTTGGAAGCAACATAAGAGATGACTCATAGTTCTGGATTCCCACTGGAGCCCTCCCCCACCCACCCCCATTATCTAGTAACAAGGTTTTTTTTTTTTTAATAAGATAGTTTCCTCATTGTTAAAAGGAGGAGCTTGGTTTATATATCCTTCTCTTTACTTTGTGCTTGGAGCCCTGTGAGGTTCCAACTTTATGTGGAACTTTCCACCTTGAGTGGAGTTAGCAAATGCATTTAGAGCAGTAACCAATTTATCATCCAGATAAATTTTCACTCATGTTTTGGTTTTTGTGTGTTTTCTATTTTACAACTAGCTCAGCTATGAATTAAAAAAAAATATTATCTCTAAAATATTTTTTCCAGCATTTTACATATTGTCAGTAGTGGCAAATTAAAGATACGCAAGTCTTCCCTCATGGAGAATTATCAGTCTGCCAGAGAGAGAGAGAGAGATCTCATCTGCAGCATTTTCCAAGCCCATTTGACAATGGGACTGTTGTTTTGAGGACAGTCATGTAGGATAGGATCTCTCAGAGCTCACTTGGGGAAAGTTTAAGCTAGAGAGATAAACATTGTAGTTTCAATTCCAGTCAGTCTACAGCCACAGAAATGACAGCTACTGCTGATCATTCATTCCCTGTGCATGCAAATCCACGCAAAGGATTAATCCTCATAAAAAGCTTTCCATGGTAGATGTTGTTACTATCTCCCATTTATAGACAAGGCAATTGAGCCTCAGGGAAGTGAGATCACATGGCAAAGTCGTACTTTTGGCCCCAGGCCTGACTTTCCTCAGTCTCTTCCTCCTTTTCCCCAGGCTGCCTCTGAAATGACAGAGCAGAGCACAGCAATGTAGTAGGTCAGCACCATGGAATATTATTCAGGAAGGAGGTACTGACTTAATCTACAACATGCACAAGCCTGAAAGCATTAGGCAATGTCTGAAAATGTCATAATAAAACCCATTATTTTGTACAATTAATATGTGCTAATACAAAATAAAAGAGTTCTTTGCAAATTGGTTTAATATGGATATAACTTGTAGAGTTATATTTGCTTAGTAGGACTGTACTGTCCCTGAGTGAAACTTCAATAAAAAATTTATAAATGTTTACACCATAAGTAAGAGAAAGAACTTGGGGTTTGTTCATTTGTTTGTTTTGATACTGGGAATAGAACTCAGGACCTTGTGCTTGCCAGGCAGGCGCTGTGCCACTGAGCTATATCCTTGGACCTAAAGAAATACTTTGAAAGGCCACTTGTTATGGTTTGGATAAGTGTCCCCCAAAGGTCAACATGTTGAAGTTCTGGTCTCCAGTTTGTGGCACTGCCAGGAAGTAATGGAAACTTTAAGAGGGGAGGCCGCTTAAAGATGGGAGGAGGTCAGTCATTGGTTTGTGTTCTTAAAAGGGGTCTTGGGCTTCTGGCCACTTCTTGGCTTTCTGTTTGTTTCCTGGCCACCAGGAGATGAGCAACTTTCTCTGCCAGTTGCTCCCACTGTGATGTTTGCCTCATCACAGGCCTAAAAGCAATGGACTAAAACCATAAGCCATAATAAGCCTTTCCTCTTGGAAAAAAATTATGCAAAACTGAAGAAGCCAGTCACAAAAGGCCATGTGAGTCCATTCACCCGATAGTACAGAAAGAGGAAAACCACAGAGCATGAAGTGGATTGTTGGCATGTAGGGCTGGGAGGGGCTGAGATGAAGGTTTTAAGACTGACAGTGGTGATGACTGCAACACCGTAAATAGACTAAAAAAACTCTGAAGTGTGCATGACACAGGTGAATTGTAAGACAAGAAAATATTTCCACAGAATTGTAAAAAATAACTATGGAAGGAATGTAATGTTTTCAGTGGTACAGATCACAACATTTCTCAAGGAAAGTAAACTTTTCTGCATTGGTTTTCTCCAGTTAACTCTAACCACTGCTTCTATCTAATTCTAAGAGATCATCTTTTCACAAGGAGGCTCCTGTGCCTCCCAGGGACCTCATCTGACATGGGATGAAGGCCAAGCACAGTCTCTGGGTTTGTGCCCCACCTGTGTCCCACCTGCCAGCCTGCCAAACACACATACCCATGAGGCAGGAGTTGTGGTATTCATCTGTCTGACTCTGGTACTCCAGGATCTTCTTACAGATGTGGTCAGTACACTGGTCCAAATTCTCATACATGCAGTCAGGCCTGGTGACTGGATGCTTCTCTCTGCGGTAAAAGTCCTGCCATAGAGGAGAGAGCATGCTTGGGTGAGGACCCTCTCCATGGGACTCTACCCTTGGCACCTGGATCCACTCACCCACTTTCATCTCAAAACTTTCTAGTCTTTGCTCATGTTCCCCCTCTGGCCTTTCACTTCCTGTCTCCTAGATAGGGCCCACCTCGTGGGTCTTCGTTACTTGTTGAATGAATGACAAATCCTACTTATCCTTCAAGATCCAAATCAATGGAATCTCAAACTGTGACTAGGCTGGGAGCCTACTAGGAAGCACCATACTGGGCACAGACCACGGGCCAAAGAGATGGACAAGGGTGCCCAGCTCTATGGAAGGTAGCAGAAGGCACCAGTGCTATGTATGGTATGCTGGAGCATATGCCGGCCGGGGGCCACTTCCTGGCAGCCCCACCTGTCTCCCTGTGCCCCACCATGATCACTGGTCTCCTGCTAGGTCCTGGGCACCTTGGGAACAGAGGCCAAGTTTGTTCCTCCTGGTATGCCCAGTACTTGATAAGCAAATAGTGTCCAAGATATGTTTGGGAACTGCCTAAATACACAATTAAATGCTGAATGCATGAGGGTAGGTTTCTAGGAAAAGAAAAAATCACAGAAGGTGACAGAAGCTGAGGAGGTCAGAAGAAGGTGAAATCATTTCTTGTCATTTACTCCCAAGTAGCCATGATCAATAGACTGCAGAAGGCAGAGGCAGCTGGGATGTGCTTCAGCGTGGGTCCGGGTCCATGGGCAGTAGATCTTACCTCTGCAGCAGACAGCAGGCGCTCATTACTTTCCCAAAGGAGGGTCAGGATGGTCCCTTTAAAGTCTCTGTAACACAAAGGAAGCAGATCCCTAATGGGCCTTGTCTAAATACGCCAACATGAACACAACCAAACAGAACATTCTAAGTACTGTTTGGCCCATGTCATCCTTTATAATTACTTATTACTGCCCCAGGTCTGTGCACACAGATTCCGCTGCAAAAAGAGGCTGCAAACTTTCTTCTTGGTCATATCTAGATTCCAGCTCAGTGCTAATTCTTGACTACCTAATACTTCCAGAATGCTCCTCAGCTTTATAGCCCTCTACGCAGATCTGGGATTAATTTTTCAATCATGATCATCATCCATCTCTTTAAGCTGATTGTAAACTCCACCAGGTGTTTAAAATATGAACTGGGAGGTCATTAGGCTGAAACAGCTCCGCTATATAAGGTTCCTACATAAACAAAAAGCAAACAAACTCAGAATGAATGTTATATTCTAGGAAAACAAAATTTAAACTTAACTGATAAGAAATAGCTAGCTAACCCCTAGCTAGAGACTTTCCACTTTAGCTAATCCAAGTTTTCTTTGTCTTGTTTTAGCAAACTCCTTGTAAAAGTTTTTTGCTGGTACTATATTCCCTGGCAGAGGCCTAAACTGCTTATCATCTGACAATGACCCTTTCGTGAACTGCTGTCTGCTCAAACTTGTTAACACTTTAATGTGTCTGAGTTCATTTTCTAACACAGGATATGGTTTTTATGTGTCTGTTTTTGCTCACCATGCAATCTCTAGCCAAGTGCAGGGCCTGGACCTGTTAGTGCCTCAGTATTGGTTGAAAGAAGAATGACCGCTTATAAACAGTGATCAAGTGAGCAGGACTTCCTTTAGAAGCAAACATCCTCCTGCTTGCTCTGGCCCTGTCGCCCATGGTGCACATCCCAGGGATGTGTAAGAAGATTTCTGCAGACCCAAGGGACATTCCTTCCCAGTTAGGTCAAACATTTTGAAATCAAGAATGAGATAAAGTAAAGATATGTTCAAATTGCATGTAGTGTCAGGGCACTTGGTATTTCGCTCTCTGTATAAAGTGTCACAGTGACTATATGCATACATCATGTTTGCCACTTTCTAAATTGCATGTGTATAGGTCACTTGGTGTTTCATTTTTAAATTCATGTATCATACTCAAAGAAAATTAACACAAACATTTTAATGTATTTTTCTGCTGATTTTATAAATAAAATCAGCCATAATTAGGTGTATGTGATTTTACATTATGCTCTGTTCACTTATTGAGTGGTAAGTGTTCCCTATATTGTGGATAATATCTTAAATTACTGTGAAGCACCATCAAGTATACATGTGTCACAGTTTACAAGGCTCTAATTTTGGACTTTTTAGGGTTTTTCCCATTTTCAACTGGCATAAAAAGTATTGCATGGAACATATTTGTGCAAGAAGTTTTTCTTCACAGTGGGATGATTCCCTTGGTAGAAATACCTGAAGAGCTGCAAAAAGGCATAATTGTAGGGTGTAATGGCTTATGTCTAGATGTCCCCTCAGAGTCTCCTGTGGACACAAGTGGGGCTTTTTAGAGGTGGCTGGATTTAGGATGTATGAAGCTGAGATGAAGCTTTTGTGATTACTAAATTAGTCCAATGATTGGTTTGGCATAATTCTGGGTGTGGATAATGGGAAAGTCCACCTTGGGTGTGGGTGGCACCACCCAAAGGACAGGTAGCCTGGAAGTGATAAAAGGGAACAGCAGGCTGCTGCTGCTGCTGCTTCTTTGCTATTTTATTGCTTTACTGCCTTCTGCTTACTGAACTGTTTCTCCCATGTAATTCCCTTCTGCCAGGGCGCCTTGCCTTGGAGCTAGCCAGCTATAGACTGAAGCCTCTACAAATCATTGCCTAAATAAACCTTTCCTTCTTTAACTTTGGGTTTGTCTCAGCAACAAGAAAAGTAACGAAGACATAGGGTTTTCATTAGACCTTGCCAAATTGCTTTCTGGAAAGATAGCATGCTGTTGACTCCCACCTCTCAGTGAATGGGACAGACCATCTCCAACCTCCACCCCAAACTGGTAGTGTAATGGTTGATACATTTGTCAACATGAGGACTCTAGAGGCTTGACTAAGTAACTCAGCAGTTCTGCATCCTGGGGTGAAAAGGACGTGCCCTTCCTGCTCTAGGATGTTCATTGTGTCAATGTGAGAAATTTAGAAGGTTAAATGAGTGACTGAGCAGGGGGTCAGGGTCCCTACTTTGTATTCATCCTGAGCCTGTGCAAGAGGAGGGCATGGAGATGATGTGAGTGCTACATGGCCCTGGGCACGGCGAGCCTGCCTATAATGTAAGGGAGGAAAAGAGGCTTGTTCCTCCCTTTTGCTCTTGCTGCTTTTTTTGTCTTGTGCCTCCTGGAAGTGTTGCCCCTGTGCCTTGCCACTTTGCCTTGGAGCCAGCTGATTATAGACTGAAACCTCCACAAACTGTAAGCTAAATAAAACCCTTCCTTCCTTAATTCTGGGCACTGAGTATTTTGTCTCAGCAATGAGAGAAAAGTAACCAAGACAGGCAGTTTCTACAAAAATCTGTTTATGTGTTGGTTAATCTCAGGTGAAGTATGGAGTGGACCTGCTGCTCCTCATCCATTTCTTTGTATTCCACTGAGGTTGAGGTTTCCCTCACATGTTTATTTCCGCTTGTGCTTCTTCCTTTGTGCCTGGTCTATTCAAACCTCTTCTTGCCCTCTACTGAGTTCTCAAGCTTTCTTTAGCAAGTAACCTGGGGGCAAGAGAAAGGCTAATGTATTTATTTTCCTTTTTCTATAAATTTACCATATTTCAAGATGTCTACTAGTGCTTCTCACGGTGACCTCTGTATTACTGAAGGGAGGCCAGTTTGGGACCCATGAGAACTCACTGGTTTTTTTCCACTACTATAAGAGAAGAGTTCTCTCTTACCCACTGTACAGATGCAAAGATTGAGGCTTGAGGAGAAGTCACTTACCTAGGGGCCCAATGTGGTGATACAAATAGGATTAGTCTGATTCTCTTTCCTGAGCAATTAACCACTGCACTAAGTCAGGACAGTTTCTCCTTTCTCAGATACTTAATAAATGCTTGATTAATTTTATTTCTATTTAGCCTATGACGGTTTTTTAAAAAAATCACTAAAAGACTGTGTTACATTTCTATTATGAAATCTATTTGGTCATACAAAAGGATGCATTATTGACACGTGACAATTTGGATGGATCTTGTTATGGTTTGAATGTGTCCTCTGAAGTTCATATGTTAGAAACTTAACCCCCAATGCAAAATATTGAGAGATAGACCTTTAAGAGGAGTGGGTTCCTGATAAAAGGATGAATTCAACCTTCTTTCTTTCTCTCTCTCCCTCACTCCCCTTAACCTCTCCTTTCTCTCCTGCTCTGCTCAGTGATCTTTCACCTCTCCTCATGGGATGATGCATCAAGAAAGTCCTCATCATATGCTGGCACCTTGACCTTGTACTTCCCAGTCTCCACACTGTAAAGTAAATCTTTGCTCTTTGTAAAGTATCCAGTCTCAGGTATTCTGTTATAGCAGTGCAGGTGCACTAAGACAGGTTGTAAGGTCATTATGCTGAGTACAAAAGGCTGCTCTGAATAAAGGACAAATGCTCCATGAATCCATTTGTATAATATTATCCAAGTGACAAAATTATAGGGATGGAAAGAGGATTCCTGGCTTCATAGGTAGGGAGTGGCATATAAATGGGTAACATGAGGGAGATCTTTGTAGGGACAGAACAGTTCTGTATCTTAACTGTGGTGGTAATATTGGGAGTCTGCACATGATAAAATGACAAGGAGCTGCAGAAAACAGACAGTCAGGGTCTTCATGGTGCAGAGTGTCTTTGGTGTGTGGGCTGAAGGTGTGTCTAGCTGATGACCTGCAGGCAGGCAACTCCTAGGTTTCCTAGTGGAGCAGCTGTGCACAGTAAGGCATGGTTCCCAGCTCCAGAGAGCAGACCTGGGCAAAAGGGCTGACAAGAGGTGCTATATGTAGGGTCCCTGGTTAGGCAGAATGGGGACTCCACTGTGGAGCTCTGAGGATTTTTTTTTTTTTTTTTTGATACTTAGAATCGAACTCATGACCTCAGGCTTGCCTGGCAAGCGCTTATGCCGCTGAGTTACATCCCCGGCCCTTTTCTCTAAGGCTTTTAATTTTCTGAACTTGACATTTTGCTAGTTTGCTTGAAATGAAACTATACCAAGCAGACCAGGTTTTGTTTTAATCACTGAGAAGTGACAATGAAAGAAAATGAAGGTGAAGAGGGAAGCATTAGAAAAGCTACCCAAACCCCCAAACTTCAGAAGTGTCTGCTGTCCTACCACCAATGAAATGCTGGTGAAAGTGCTCTCAACAAACCCAGATGGGACGGGCCAAGACACACTGACCTTGACCCTTAACTGTCCCCTCCGTACCCTTTTCTTTATCGACCTCCCCATCCCCTTTCCCTTTCTCGATTTTCCTTTCAGCAGAGTCAGATCCTTCCCCACCGCCCCACACTGAAACTGTGCAGTTAAAGGGAAGTCCATCACCACTTACTCAGCCGGAGGAGGAGACTTTTCTCCAAGCAGCTGGTACCTTCTTTCCATTCTGGTGAGCTTGGGATGCCGTGTGATGCTGTGGGACAAAGATGTGTCAGTGCTCTGCAGTCTAGAGACAGAGGAAAGGCAGGTCTGTGCCTGTGGGAGTCCAGCCTGGAAAGGTGGAGGATGCTTCCTGCCTCCTCAATAGCCCTGAAGACAGCCTTCTCTTGGGGTGAAGGCTTTACGCTAATGTCCAACCAAGGCCACTGAGAGAGGGCAAAAGGCAGGGGTTCAGGCCTAGAAGTGTGCACCCTCCCTTTGCTATGGTGAGGACCCAAAGAAAAGCAAGTTGAGCCACAGGTAGTATCACCATAAAGATATGGTATGCCATTCAAACCTGAATTTTCTATGAGTAATGAGTAGTTTTTAGTATTAACTGTATCCTATATAGTATTTGGGACACACTAAGAAATTAAGTGTTATTGATTTGATATAAATTGAGTTGGGTACCTGTGGCAGCCCTAGTGACATGGATCAAGACAGGTTGAATATAGAAACAAACAATGCTGGGTCACCTATAAACAAACAGAACTCTGACTCACTGCCTGCAGCACACTGCCCAGGACTCTGGCCCCCTTGCTATGATAAGCAGCTCAAAGCCAGCCTGCTGAGAGTCAGGCTTACATATAAGAAATCAGATTGCTATTGCTAGTGACAGGACAGAAAGCTAATCAATATCTGCTATAGTAATTGCCAGGACTTGATAGTAAATGACAACTTTCCTAATATTTGTCCCTATGTCTAACTTAGGATCAACTAGAGAAAATCAGATGTGCACCCTAACCAGCCCGACAGGATGCCCCACTTTCAAAAGGCTGGCCCCCCACCAGCTCCCCCTTTCCACTGTAAGGTTCCTGCTCCATTGTCTTCCCTTGAATCCACCAAGGTGACAGCCTACTCCCATTTTGGTGGTGGCCAACTGCCTCCTTTGGTTAATAGCCTCTGCTTTACTCATTTGGTTGGTCTTTGTTCCTCTTGACATTGCACATAATACTGAGGTTCAAAAAGACCTTCAGCAGGTAAAGGGAGAGCAGGGCTCCCTTCACTTTCTCAAAAGCAGGTATTAAGACATGTCAACCAGGGCTTATAGAAGATCTAGGAAGTTGTGCAGCCACGAAGCGTCTGTTATTCAACTTCTATAAAGCCTTCAGGTGGGCCTAGTAACCAGAGCCTCCAGTCTAATGACCGATACAAAGCTCAGTGGATAGAGCAAATATCAGGGAACCAAAGCCCAAGACTCCTGTACGGCTGTGATGTTGCCTCAGGAACAAAAGCTCTGTGACACCAATTGTCTCCCTTTCTAACCACGTGCCCCCATGGGGTTGGTGGCAGGACTAATACCCACCTGCCCTGTCATGGACAACCACCCAACTCTCACATGCTCCCCCAGGTGGGAGACGTGTGTGGGTTACATCGTTCCCCAGGATGAGCTCAAGCATGACCAAAGCCAGCATCATATCAGCTTCTCCGGCACGGGATGCCAATGGAGTCCCAGAGCACCAGCACAGGTGGGGCATTCTGAGGTCAGAGTCCTCTCTGGCCTTTCTCTGGGGGGACAGACCTGGGTTCTGGGAAGATTTCTACCTTGCTGCTGAGGTAGAACTGGTGCTAGGCAAGGCCCTCTTCGTAGTGCTTTCTGCCCGGCAACGTCGCTTTAAGACTTTGGATGATAAGTGCCCAGGATGAGATCAGAAGACAGGAGGTAAGGATGGTCCACGACTACCGCCAGCTTCCCCACCACCAGCTGCTCCAAAGCCCACAAGTCTGCCTGCCTATACCTGTCCGGTCTTTATCACACTGGTGAAGTGATCTTGTGTTGGGAAATCTAAAACAAAAGAAAAAGGTATGAGATTTTCCAGTCATGAGTGACCACAAGGACAGGTCAGGCTGGCCCAGGCAGCAGTCCAGTTAGTCCTCAGTACTACCTGTATAGGTCCTGTCGTGAGCTCAGGTGTTCAGATGGAGAACCAAGGCTCTCAGAGGAGTAGCCCCTTGCCCAAGGTCACAGTCTCTCAGACTGGGCTCCCACGAGAGCCCCAGTATGTAGAATCCCCAAACCAGCCTTTGAAGGCACTCACTGCAGGATCATCTTGACCACCTCCACAGCAGGGTCTTCAATCATCAGCTTCCCCATGCGGCTCGGCTGTGCAAAGGACTCAGGGTTGACGAGGTCTACCTTGGCCTCCTCAAGGGTCTCTGAAGACATCTGATTGTCACTCTCTACCTCAGCGTCACTCAGGGCAGTGTCCTGTGGGCCAGGGAGAAGGGCCGAGTGTGTGTGGCCTGGTGCCAGGGAAGCAGCAGGCTGGCTCACACTCCACTGTTACCCTGTCCAAGCAGTGGTTGGTGGCGAGCAGCCTGGCCTCTTAGAGCTTCTGTTTTCTCTGCTATAAAATGGTAGTGCTCTTATCACTCCTAGAAGGCTGTTCATTCACTTATTCATGTCTTTAGAAACATTCATGCCTTATCTGAGTGTGTGCTGTCCACAAGGGTCTGTCTGTGTCTTAAGAGACACAGGCAGAGAGGCCACATGAGGTCCCTGTCCTCATGAAGCTTTCAACCTAGGCAGAAGAGACATTTATGCACTGTTTTGGTTGATACATTGTATCAACTTTGGAAGTTTAGAAGCTTAACTAAGTAACTCAGCAGTTCTACAGCCTAGGGGGTAGAGGACGTGCCTTGGTGGCTATTTATGCTCTAGGATGTTGTAATGGTTAATTCATTGCGTCAATTTGAGAAGTTTAGAAGTTTAACTAAGTGACTTAGTAGGGGGACAGGGTCCTCACCTGTAAACATCCTGAGCCTGTAAAAGAGGAGGGTGTGGAGATGGTGTGAGCTGTGAGTGCTACACCCACCTTACGGCAGGTTGCCTGCATACACTATAAGGGAAGAAAAGAGGCTTGCTCTTGTTGCTTTCGCTATCTTCTGCCACCACCATGAACTGTTGCTCCTCTGCCATACCACCCTGCCTTGGAGCCAGCTGATTATGGACTGAAACCTCCACAAACTGTGAGCTAAATAAACCTTTTGTTCTTTAACTTTGGGAGTCAGGTATTTTGTCTCAATAATGAGAGAAAAGTAATCAAGACATGCACATTTACACAAATAAATGTCCCCAAAATTGGGACAGTGTTATGAGGGAGAAGTTCTAGCATCTTCTGTGAGACTGAAGTGAGATCTGCGGAGCTGGCTTCCGAAGCACCTGGGTGGTGTTTTTGGCCAAATGGGTGAGGGGTGAAGGCTAAGCAAGTGGCCAATAGATCTTAGAGAAAGTGCCCACAGTGGCCACTTAGTTCAGCTGGCCCCTGTTTTATTCTTAATCTTTTCTTCTGCCAGCCCCTAGAAGGAAGAGCCTAGGCTGGACCATGGGAGCCTCTGTCTCTCAGGGTGCAAGACCAGAGGCAGATGGGTGGCTAGCGCAGGCTGCTTGGTGGGGAAGCCTCCCCATAGAAGGAAGGGCAGGCAGAGGGGGCCTGTGACAGCGGAGCTGGCAGTGATCCACCCCTGCAGCAGCCAGCTCTCAGGCCCTCCCTTCCAGTGGCTGAACATCTCACGTGGGCACAGTCCAGTGTCAGGGATGGGAGGAGGGGTGGATGGACAAACCCTTAAGTGGAGACTTCACCATGTGGTCTGCGGGTGTCACAGGAAGTGGGAAGTGCCCTGGGTTTGGGAGACTCATACGCAGTACACAGGGTAAGAGAAGTCTTGGCAGAAGTGATGTCAAACCTGGAGAAGAGAGCTGAAAGAGCCACTGACAAGACTACAGAAGCTGCTGTGTGTGTCTGGTTGAAGGGTTTGAACTTGACCCTGAGGGCAAAGGAATGATGTGGTCATTTGGGTGTTTTCCAATGTGTGGTCTAGTTGCGGCTTCAGGGAATGGACCACAAGGAATAGGAGAGGACACAGGCAGCCAGATGGGCAAGAGATGGAGGCTTGGAAGAAACAGTAAAGTGGGATGGGAGAGGCTGGTGGCTGCTCGTGGGTACAGGTGGGAAGGATGAGGCTGAGCCGGGGCTGAGAGCCTGTGCACAGGCTGACCTGAGGGCCACGATGAGATGAGGTGGTGGTGCTAGGAGGTGATGGGTCTTCTATGAGACCAGTGCAGGGAGGGGCACCACTTGGGACCTGAGCTCAGATCTGACTCCACAGCTGTGATCTTTCCATGGCATCCCAGGAGGCCTGATTCCAGTAGAGGCCTGGGAGTCTCCTCTTCCTTTAGGCTGTACTGAGGCCAGCAGATCTCCTTTTCCCTGCCCTGCCCCATTCCTTACCTTATAGACCTCATGAGTCATAGACACCGTGTCCAGGCTGCAGTTGAGGTACTTAATCCTCTGGTTCAGTTTTTCTTTCCAAGTTCTGACACAGCCCAGGAGATCTTCTGTGGTCACCACCTAGTGGGAACATGGAGGAAGAAAGCCCCAGGGATACTTCCAAGGATACTGTAGAATAGGGCCTGGTCTGGTGAGGATGTCTCTTGGGTGCAGGAGGGCCCCAAGGGAGTGGGGAATGCTGGGCTGGCTCTCTCAGGCAGCTGCACTAGGGCTGTGGATCCTTCACTGGCCAGGGCATGGGAAGTTCTGTTCCTGGTTCTATGGGTTCAACTCTGGACAAGTGACATAAGCTTGCTTCACTCAGTCACTTTATCTAAACATAGGAGCAGGGAATGTTTCCTAGGATCTCCTTCAGCTCCATTACTGGGTGTTTAGAAGGAAACACTTGGTGCGGGTGGCAAGAATGTGTAGGACCGTGTAGCCTGGTAGACTGCCTGTTGCCATGGCAACATCTTCTTGGAGCAGCACCCCACAGGTGCACAAGGACGCACCCTCGACCATCTTCACCCTCACTACATATCCAAGGCATCGTTACTGTTTCCTAACCACTGTTCTGCAGACTGTAAACCAGTCTCCTCCAGCAACACAGCAACCTGCACACCCAAGCTCACACTGTCTCCGCTTGCCCAGGAGGCCAGGCAAGCCTCTGGAATCCACCCAACACATTGATGGAGAGGACAGATCAGGTTTGGAAGGGGAGAGAATGTGACAGACCTAACAGTTCTGTGTCAGAGAGCCTGCCCTAAGGAGCCTGTTGGAAGATCACAGTGCGTTAACCAGTTTTGTCTAGTCTTCAGCAGGTGGCCTCATAAAGGAGACCAGGGAAGTAATGGGCAAACTATAGGAACCACCTTTCCTCTGCACATCCATGTGGAAGTGCAGTCAGCTCAGCAGATGTACAGAAATGTGCAGGAATGTGCACAACAGGTTTGAGAGTGCCTCTGTAGAAAATGAGAATAAGCATTTATTCTGTACTTTATGTTTAGTGGATGCTGAAAGTTTTCTTGAGAATCATGCATTACTATACAAGAATTAGCAATAAAGAAAGAAAAGTAAATGTCTTCTCAGTGCTAACAACAGTGGAGCTGAAACTCCGTCTACTGAGATGGACAAAAAAAGGTGGAACAAAGTGAGCAGGAAGCCTCCCATTCTGGACTGTCAGGCTGGGGCCTCTGGTTTTGGAGACACGTGGGTGGGCAGCAAAGGTAAACCCAGGGCACATGTGGAACAGGAGGGGCAGAGATGTGCACTTGTGGCAGAACAAGCTGGTAGGTATCTAGAGGCTCGCTGTGCTGATCAGGGAGCTGGGGACATTTAGAACCACATTCCTGCCAAACTTTTCTCCAATTCTGACTTTTCATGGCTTAGACACATAAAAGCAGTTGATGAGCTGTGATCAAAGGAAGCAGGTGAAAAGTCAAACAAGAAGTGGCTGTTGGGAAGGCAGAGCCTTGCTTCCACCATTCATCCAAGGCTAAGATCTCAGTCCAGCAAGGGATGCCTGGTGACATCACAGGAGAAGAGGCCCAGCAAGCTGGACATAGACCCCCACCTTACTGGACTCTAAATGCTTCCCTGGGGTTAAGGGGTTGGTGAGATTGTTGCATTCTTTTTTCTTCTTTCCTTCATTCTGCTGAGTAAAACAGGGTGTAAATAAGTAGGAGACCTCAGGGACACACCAGCCTCCATGTATGCTGGAGAAATCCTGTATCCAGATGTAAATTTATTTCAAGGTTATGATTCTAGCATGACATATGTTGACTATTTGCATGCAGAACCTAGAGAACACTCACAGTCTTATCTCCTCTTGGATATCTACAAGCTTCAATCTTGCGCTGGAGTTCTTCCAGAGAAGAATTTAATCCCTCTGTCTGTAAGTTGGATTTTGCCACCTAGAAAACCAGAGGCCCCGAAAGTTTGTTTCTAGAATATATATATCTTGTGACCAGGTTAAAGGTCCTACAAAGCATCAGAGAAAATAAAGAATAAAAAAATAAAATCAGGGAGTAAAATACAGTTATACCAGAAACTAGATCAATACACATTTAAAAAATTTTTTACTATAAAATAGGTCTGGTTTAAATGAAACTGGCCCCCCAGAGTGTGCTCAGATGCATAATAACCACCAGAAGGTATAATGAGCTTTACACCATCCATGCTCGGACCAAGATGACAACTCTCAGGAGGCTCTGAGGATGCAGGCAGGGTGGCTGGACAAGTGCACTCACAGAATTGAACACCGTGACCAGAAGGGAATCCACCCAGCATTCCCCAAAAGGAGTGCTTAGGAAAACAGCAGTACATCCAGGAGAGGGAAGCCATCCAAAGGGTATGTATTTGTTTGTGTATTTGGTTTGTTTGTTTCATTTTGTGTGGGTTTTATGGTTTGTTTGTTTTGCAGTCCTGGGGACTGAACCCAGGGTCTTCACACTGATCTATGTCCCCATCCCTTTTTAATTTTTTTTCTTTTTCTTTTTTCTTTTCTTTCTTTCTTTCTTTCTTTTTTTCTTTCTTTCTTTTTTTCTTTTTTTCTTTTTTTCTTTTTTTTTTTGTCTTTTTGAGACGGGGTCTCACTATGCAGTTCAGCCTGGCCTTGTAGCACAGCTGGCCTCAAACTCACAACAATCCTCCTGTCACAACTCAGCTTCCTGAGTGCTGGGATTACAGGCATGAGCCACCGCGCCTGGTCCCTTTTTTATTTTTTGAGACAGGGTTTTGCTTAGTCTCTAAATTGCCCAAGCTGGAGTCAAACTTGCAATTCTCCTACCTCAGCCTCCCAGAATGCTGGGATGACAGGTATGTGTCACCAAATGTGGCTCCAAAGGGTGTTTCTGAAAGATTTTTAAAGAGTACACAGCTTATAAAGTTGTATAAATAGCAAAGGGTCAATTCAAGTATACCTCAGCTTCTCATATATAGAAAGAATCTTCACAATAAATCAAATTTTAAACAGGAATTATGACTATATGTGGGAGAATCATGGATTTATATCTCTTTTTTATATCTTTTCTGTCTTTTCAATATTGCCCATGATGGAAATGCATTTTGCTTATACTTGTTACTAAAAATGCCCTGCACAACCCGTTATCAGTTCAGAAGAGAGTGTGCCAGCACCAGCTGCAGGTCCGTTAGGAATGTGCTCCTTAAACAGGGCAGGAGTGCTGTACTTTGTGGACTCTGCTCCCTGAGGCTCCTCCTGCTTCTCTCCTGGGATGGGGACCTCTACTGAAGCCTGCCCCCACGGAGGTCTCCCTATGCACCAGGGACCATGTCAAGAGCTTAGCATGCATTTACTGCTCATTTAGCTCATTTACTGGTACAATGATTGTACAAGTTCCTTGCGTGATTCTCGTTTTACTGGCAAGTGAATTAAGTGTTCCTAGAGTGACAGGGGAGGAGGCAGGGACTGAGTCCTACCTCAGAGTCTAAGACCTTAGCAAACTCCCTTTATTGGAAGGCACCTGCTACTCTTGGGAGAGGCCTGTCCTCTTCAGGTCCCTGGTTCTAGCCCTAGTGGGTCCTTGAACACTGTGCCCTGAAGGGTGTGCTGCTCTCGGTGGCTCTTCCTGCTGACACCTTATCCAGGCTGCTACTCTCTCAGCTTCACATCCCTGCCTCACTCTCACTGCCAACTGTCCAGGGGGCCCTTCTCCAGTATGGCCCTAAGCACCTAGCCCTGCTTGAACCCTCCCTGCCCCCACCGCCTGATCAGGGTCCTGCAGATCTGTTACCTTTGCTCCCTTAGCTCCCCACTCCCTCACTCTCCCTGATCTTGGCACGTACCTCAGGAAACTTGCTTCTCCTAATCGCAGGTTAAATCTTCTGTACACACCCACATGTGCCTAATACCTCTTCCCCTTTGGGCTCAAGTAGCCCATCCATGATTTAGGCCATAATCTTTGGTGATAATCAGACCTGCATCTGCATTCTGACTCCGTCAATTAAAAACTCTGTGTTCCTGACTCAATCAGTGGGTGACTCTCTGCCTCAGTTTATCTCTAAAATGGGGCTTTTGTCTCTAAAACAGTGCTTGCCTCACACAGCTCTTGTGAGGACTACCACAGCTAGTTAAAATAAGTCAGTTAACAAGATGCATGGTGTCCAGTGACGCACTGAGCACAAGGGGCTGTTAAGAGTTACTTGGTCCCACAGAACAGAGGCCACACTGGCCTCTTTGTGCCTGGTGTGCAGGTGCATGTGTATGATAAACACCTACAGGATGGATAAAGAACCTGTCCTATCTACCTGGCACTTGATGTTCACTTGAAGACTTGTCAGCAACCGCTGGATTTTCTCCATGAAAATAAGGTCCACATACAGGTTATGGAATTTACTCTCAAATTTGTTGATGACATCATTGGCCTGCAGAGAAAGATTTTTTAAAAAGTGGGAGGGCTTAATCTGAAGAGGAGGGGAACGGATCAATTATGGCTTAGACAGGGCCATGCCCTCCCTTCAGAGACCACACCCTGGGACGGGCTGTCCTGAGCCTGACTGGAGGGTAGGCAGGGCTCCCTGACCTGGTCCAGGTATTCGCTCTCCATCTTCTCCATATTCATTATGATTAAACTTTCAACAAACTCTATCCGGGAAGCTTCCTTCTCCAGTCGAAGACACAGTGAGTTGATTTCTTCAGGTGAGAAGGTGCCTCCCTCTGAAAACAATCTGATAATGATTAGTGAGAAGCGAAAGTCAGCCGTCAGACCTGAACATTCCTTCCTTTCCCAAATACTGCGTGGTTAAGAACACACTTTCCATCTAAGCTTTGGACTGAAAAAGATGATGGAAACATAAGTGCAGGTAGTGCAAGCACAGGAATACGTGTGAACAAGTGGTGCATCAGTGTGTCAGACTGAGGACACGACAGACCCAGGTGAAACAAAGAAATGCTGGGTGAAATTAAAAGTGGAATGATTTTCTGAGACCTGCATGAAGATAAGAATTATATGGAGTCTCACGCAAAATCAGAGTGAAACATCCCCTTGGCACATGGATGGGCTCTGAAGCTGAGATGTGCCTACAAACTGAATTTTGATGGCTGGGGGAGGGGGCAGCATGGAGCTGGACTCCAGACATGATCCTTTGGGAATGAGATTGCAGGAGTAAAGGAATCCCACTAAATACCCGCACACTGCCTGGTCTAGATCTGAGGGCAGGGAGGAAAGAAAGTTCTCTGTCACCTGAGGTTTTGTAATCACAAACTGGGCTTCACCCACATTTATTAGCTGAATTCATGTTCTCTGGAGTGATTAAAAAAAAAAAAACCTCAAGCAAAGATTTTTCCTTTCCTTTACCATTTTTTTTTTTACTTTTCCCTTCTTTCCTTTCCTTCTTCCCCCTCCCTTGTTCCCCTCTTCATTTGAACATTTTCTTCCTATTTCACAATATTTATTATACATTTTGTTCCTCACTTAGATTTTTGGTTTCCCACACTAGAGAAACAATGTGTTATTTACACGTGTGTCCGATTTATTTCACTTAAGAGTATGATATGGTTTCAAGGTGCATCCATTTAGCTACAAATGTCTCAAGGTTATCCTCCTTTAAGGCAGAGTAGTACTCCACTGTATAAAAAAACACATCTTCTTTATCTATTCAGCAGTTGGGGCTATTTCTAAGATTTGGCTATTATAAACTGGGCCATTATAAATATGTGTGTATATATATCACTGTGGTATAATGCTTTTAATTGTTTCAGGAAGATACCAAGGAGGGGAATAGCAGGGTTGAATGGAACCTCTAGTCCTAGTTTTTGAGGAATCTCCACACTGATTTTCACAGCGGTTGCACCAGTCTACACTCCCACCAGCAGTGGAAAGGGATTCCCCTTTTCCCACAGCCCTACCAGCATTTGTTATTGGTTGATTTTTTTTTATTTTTGGTACCTGGAATTGAACTCAGGACCTTGCGCTTGCCGGGCAGGTGCTTGTGCTGCTGAGCCATATCCCCAGCTATTGGTTGATTTCTTAACAATAACCATTCTTTCTGAGGTGAGATGGAATCTCGGTGGTTTTAATTTGCATCTCTCCAATGACCAGTGATGTTGAACATTTTTATTTGCTGTTTCTACTTCTTCATCTGAGAAGTATCTGTTTATTTCAGATGCTCATTTTTGGATTGGGTCTTTACATTTGGGGGGGTCTGATTTTTTTAGTTCTTTATATGTTCTCAATAGTAGTCCTTTGTTTGAGGAATAACTGGAAAAATTTTTTTACTACATTGTGAGTTGCCTCTTCACTTTGTTGGTGGTTTCTCTTGCTGTGCAAAAGCTTTTTAATAAGATGAGCTCACAGTTGTTGATTCTTTGTAATAGTTCCTGTGTGATTGGGGTTTTGTTCATAAAGTCTTTGTCTACACCAATGTCTTCAAGAGTTCCCTATCCTATCTTCCAGAAGATTTAATGTTTCTATTTTAATATTTAGATCTTTGATCCATGTTGATTTTAATTTAGTGCATAGTGAAGTATATGAATCTAATTTTAATCTTCAGCATATGCAAAGCCAGTTTTTCTAGGACCATTTATTAGAAGAGTATCTTTCTTCCAGTGAATGTGTTTGGCAACCTTGTCAAAGATAAGGTGGCTTATGTATGTTTGGAGTTGTTTCTGTATCTTTTAATCTATTCCATTGATCCTTGGGTCTGTTTTTTTTTTCCAGTACCATACTGTTCTTATGATAGTAGCTTTGCAGTATAATTTCAAGTCTGGGATTGTGATGCCCTCTGCCTTGCCTTTGTTCCCCAGAATATTTGCTACTCTAGGTCTTTTCTGTTTCCAAATGAATTTTAGGATTGTTTTCTCTTAATTCTGTGAGATATGCTGTTGGAATTTTGATCAGAATTGGATTAAATCTGTTTAGCAATGTTGGAAGCATGGCCATTTTCTCTGCATTGGTTCTTCCTACCCAAGAACACGGGATATCTTTCCATTTTCTGATATCCTTTTCAATCTCCTTTTTCAGAGTACTGTAGTTTTCAATCTAGAGGTCTTTTACTTTGTTCATTAGATTGATTCCAAACTATTTCTCACTCTCTCTCTTTTTTGGAGGGGGATGATATTGTGAAAAATGTTGTGTCCCTAATTTCTCTCTTGGTGAGTTAGCTATTCCTGTACAGGAAGGCTACTGATTTTTGAGTGCTGACTTTGTATCCAGTCATGCTTCTGAATTTGGTTATTAAATCTAGAAGTCTTTTGGTGGAGTTTTTGGGAGACTTCTATGTAGAGTCTCATGTCATCTGTGAATAATGATAATTTAAATTCTTCCTTTCCTGTTGTTATTTGTTCTATTTCTTTCTCTTGTCTAATTGCTCTGGCTAAAATTTCCAGAACTATACTGAATAAGAGTGGTGACGGTGGACATTTTTGTCTTGTTTCTGATTTTAGAGTGTAAGTTTTTGTCCATTTAGTGTGATATGGGCTGGTGGTTTGTCATAGGTAGCTTTTATCAGATTGAGATCAATACTATCTATTCCAGTTTTCTGTAGGGTTTTTATCATGAATGGGTGCTGGACTTTGTCAAAAACTTTTTCTGCATCTATTGAGATAATCATATGATTTTTGTCCTTGGTTCTGTTAACATGATGTGTTACATTTATTGATTTAAATATGTTGAACCATCCCTGCATCCCTGGGATGAATCCTACTTGGTCATGGTATATAATTTTCTTGATGACTGGCTGCATTCTATTTGCTGCATCCTATTGAGGATTTTTGCATCTATGTTCATTATGGAGATTGGCCTGTACTTCTCTTTCTTAATTGGGTCCTTCTCTAGTTTTGGTATCAGGGTAATGCTTGCTTCTAGGAAGGAATATGGGAGTACTACTTTCCTTTTACTTTCATTAAAAAGATTGAGAAGCAGTGGTATTAGGTCTTTTATAAATTTCTTGTAGAATTTAGCAGTGAATCCATCAAGGCCTGGGCTTTTCTTTGTTGGTAGATCTTCAATTTATATGAATATATAAGGATAGCTGGAACAGATGTATTGCTGACATCTGTAGTTTACTGAGAGGAACAGTCAATACTTAAAATTTTCTTTTTTCTTGACCAAGATCTTAATGGTACATCTTCAATTTCATTGATTGATATTGATTTCTTTAGCATTTTTATATCTTTTTGATTTAGCTTTGGTAATTCATATGTATCAAGGAATCTGTCCATTTCTTCTGCATTTTCCATCTTAATACAAGCTCTTGAAGTAGGTATAGATGATTTTCTGGATTCCTGCAAGTCCATTATGATTTCACCCTTTTCATTCCTAATTGCATGGATTTGAGTTTTTTCTTTCTTTTCTTTTTTTAAATAAGATTGGCTATGGATTTGTTGATTTTATTTAATCTTTCAAAGAACCAACTCTTTGACTCATTGAATTTTATATTGTTTTCTTTCTCTCCATTGCATTTCTGCTCTGATCTTTATAATTTCCTTCTTTTTCTAGAAGCTTGAAGTTCAGCATGAAGTTATTTATTTGAGCTTGCTCTGTTTTCCTGATATGGGTATTCATTACTATAAATTTCCCGCACAGAACTGCTTTCATTTGTCCCATAAGTTCCAGTATGTTGTATTATCATTATAGGTTAATTGTAGAAACTGTCTAATTTCTTCTTTAATTTCATCTGTAATCCATTGTTTGTTAAGGAGGGTGTTATTTATTTTTTATTTTAAAAATTTAAAAAATGACAAAACAACAATGAAGACAAAAATCAAAACAGCACAAAAACAACAAAAAGGATACATAATCTCAAGATAAAATGATAGAAATTTACAATGTTTGCTAAATTACATACTGTTAACTTCAACAAGGTTGCTCAGTCCATTAGACATAAGAATGTAAGATTGATCAAAGACAGTAACGAGTAAAAAAAAATAATTAAAAAAATTGGAAAAGGTGCACAACTTCACCATACAAAATGGTAGTTCGATAATGGTTCTTATACTGCATATTGTTTTCAGATCAGTCATTCTGATTACCAAACTCAAGCATGTAAAATTGGTCAAGAAAAAAGAAAATTTTAAGTATTGATTGTTCCCTAAATAAACCACAGATATCAGCAATACACCTATTCCAGCTATCCTTGTATATACATATAAATTTTGTTTTTCATTTTTAAAAAAAACCAGCATAACAAAAACAAGTACATAAACAAAACAGTATAGAGAGCAATAAAAATGATACAGAATTACAAAACATCGTGACACGATATTGACAATGGTTGTTATACTACACAGTCATCTTCAAAATGGTTGCACATATAATCAGATATAGGCATGCAAGACTGATCAATTACACATTAAGAGTTCCTTTCAATAAACCAACAGATATTAGTAGTACACTTATCCTAGCTATCCTGTGTATATATATATACAATTTTTCCCCTTTCCTTCTTTCGTTTTCCTCTCCAGGAGGGTATTATTTAATTTCCATGTGTTTATGAAGTTCTTGTGGTTTCTTTTGCCATTGACTTCCAATTTCATTGCATTATAGTTTGATAATATGCATGGGATAACTTCAATGCTTTTGCATTTACTTAAGCATGTTCTATGAGCTAGTGTGTAGTCTATTTTGGAGAACATCCCAAGTGCAGCAGAGAAAAATGTGTATTCTGATGTTGTGGGGTGGAACATTCTATTGACATCTACTGAGTCCATTTATTCAGAAGTTTGGTTC